TAATGTTGCATTCTCCAAATCTTACGCATTATCTTCTACGGATTGCCTCTAATTTTATTTTTAGGGACATTAAAATCTCTTACTGTAGCTGGCTTGTATTTAGCGAATAAATAGATACCTATAATGATCGAATAGACTTAGGCGTAGACATTTAGAGTAAATACGACGAAATGCTAATTTTGTAATCGCTAATATTGTAGTAAAAGCACACAAAATTCTAACACGTAATAATTCTTTATTGTAATTATATCAGAACACTAAAGTAATGTGAATATATTATTCAATTATATCTTACAGGACGATGACTTTAGGTTTGTTTAGAAATCGATCTCTTCATTATGTAGTATTTATCGTTTGCTTGATCCAAGCAGCGTCTATAAATTCATCCGATCAAGTGATACAGAAGTCTTTTAACACTTCCAAATGCTCTCTAAGTGTGTATGATGATACACATCATTATGCCCTATTTCGACAAAAAATCGAAGCAAAAGAAACTAAAATAGTGTTTTTTAATCTGACAATATTTGGTCAGAATCTACACAACGATTCTAAAAATTATGACTTCTATGGCTGGGTTAAAGACGATTTTAGTTGGGCTCTGATTTCTTTACCGGTCGATTATATTGCTACAAGCTTAAATCTTTATTCAGTTTTCGTACATCGACTGAGTTTAAATCTTATTGAATCAAGCCGAGGTTGCTATGCTCGACTAATAAGTGATTCCAAAAGAAAGTATATCATTTTTGAGGCATTATTAAAATTTACAAACTCAAGTGGAGGTTGTTTTGGTAGATATTGTCCTACAATATTTTGGCGACGCTTTAATAGAAAACAGGAACTTTTACATCATCATATATCTTATTCACGTTGTAACAGAGAAATAGTTGCTCCAAAAATTAATATTAGTACATGCCTAATTCTAGGGAAACAGAAATTGACAGGTCGTATGGTACAAATAATTTCCATAATAATCAGTTCTCTTATAGCTGCTACTATGTTAGATAAACTTATTAACAACTTCTTGAAAGAATTAGGTAATTATCGGTAAGTCACAAATTTTACAAAGCGGTAGAAAGTTAACCTTAAATTCAGTAACGAACTTTATGTATTATCGGTCTATAAGCAATCTATTATTTATTGTTTATCTATTCAGAAGCATTCCAACTAATTACATCAATGTTCAGTACCCAGCGCAAACTAAACTTGTTTTCTCAAAATAGAAATGTTAATTTTTTACAGTTACAGTCCATACAATGCAATACAGTGCTGTATCTATGACAATGCTAGTTCAGATCCAAAGTGTTATTACAGTATATGTAGCACATAACCCGAATAAAATCTTCCTTCAATAGATATTGCGAACATAAATCTCATCTTACCTCTGACGAGAGTCAAGATCATTCATTAAACCTACTACAAACTAATAATTCGCATCAAGAATTGATTCAAGAAGAAACTTATCAATCATCGCCTGGATCGTCTCACCAAATCGGGGGAACATGCTTCCAGCGCAGTGATAGTATGTTACCAAATTCAACAAATCTTACGAAAATGGACAAGGTTCGTATCTTAGATACGTTACACTTTCAAAATGTTAACTATTTCCATTTTTCCACTATACTACTAACTACCATTGGCTAGAAATTAGTCATTGTATTATATTCTTATTACTGGTTATTCTATCTTCGGGATTGGGATTTCTTTCTCTTCTTTTGCAACGAAATTCAATGCATTTTTTTTTTAAACCTCGATTTCATAAAATGGATAAACTTCATGACGTTAAAGATATAGGATTTATTATAGCAGTATGTTGCGGGCCATACATATTGATTTTAAGTTTAGCTCATTTGAAACAGGTATTGACCAGTGATTCAAACAATTCGTATAACCAAATTGACGACAATGATCAAGAGCTACTAACTAGACAAATGTACTTAACGCCAAGTTATGAGCGACAGTCCTATCACCAAATTAACATCATTCTTGTCGATATGAAACATCATTTACTTTCTCTACAACTATTTCAATTTATCAAAG